TCAAGGAGAAAAAAGTTACATGCGAAATCTGAACCGGAGACGTTAATGATGCCACCACTGATAACGAGTAATGGAACTGCAAAAAATCCATTTCTTTAAATATTATCTTAGTTACTGAAGGAGAAATAAACAAGAGAAGAACTTTGCGAATAACAGAATGCAATGAAAAACACCATCAGAACCAAATAAGATCGACAGCAACTAGAGAGTTGCACGCTTGATAAAGGAACTTCGTTGTTTCGGAACAGTACAAACAAATAGGTACAAACGGAGCTCTACAAACTGCTGAAATGTTAAATGCACCACTTTTAAGCGCAAAAATTTCCCGCGAAGTCAGATTGGCGCCGCTTTCAAAAATGTGAACCGATATGGAGATGAAACTGTCATCACCTGCTACGGTCTATGATATCTGCCATTTCGGCTATTTATTGAACGCATCGAACAACGACAACAACAATGTGACATCAGCAGTTTGATCTCTGCATATTATTTCACCGGTTTCAAGTCAGTCTTTTTAGCAATTTAAATACTGGCTAAAGAAGTCTTTTGCTTTTCAAACAGTACTGAACGTCTGTTTTTACATCATTTTTTCGTCATATAGGCACAGCAAATGGCAAGAAATGTTTGCATTCAAGTTAATATTGTATAAATATTAATGACAGCGGTTTCGCTAAAGTATACAGTAACTGCTACTGTGTCATCATTGTTTTTCACTAGTTCAAGTTTTTCTTAAACAAATATTGTAGCTTGTTTCAATACTGGTAAAAATTGCTGGAATTTTTTTTTAAATCATTTGTGCCTAGTTGTTCTGGTATAGTTTCATAGTGACAATAGCTGTTTAGACCATAAAGACTTTTATTTTATATTAGATCATACCAAAAAAAAAAAAAATTAATTGGTTTAAGAACGGTTTCATCTGGCTAAAGAATACTGGTTGCATATTTGACTACTTATCACAAGAAACATCTTTCAAATATAGTTCCAAAAACTGTTGAATTATCTTCCTTAATTTTAGAACTTGTCGGTCAGATACCAGTGCACTATACATTCTAAGATAATCTGCAGTTAATCTACTGGCAATGAAGAAACTAGGCTAGAATGAAGTTGCGGCTGTAAAATTAAGTTCTGTATAAATTTTGAAGTCATTTCCACATTTTACACTGAAATCAACATTGAAAATTACAGATGTTACTCGAAGCGATTCCAATCACAAAGTGTTCTCTTGCTGGTGGCATATAAATAGTGCTTCATAAAATTGCAATTTTATTTCTTGCTTTAGCAGTATAGTCACTTCAGAAGTGGCACGAAAGCTTTCTTTGAAATCTGTTAGATGTTTAAGGTACTGTCGAGTGAGTTCTACAAAAATGTGACTCGTTCTGTCTGTCCAGTTCTTCATACAATTTCTAAGCCTTTGTTTTTGATGGTGTTAAGGCAAAAATTATGATAACTGTCACATTAGCTATAAAAAAGTTTTTTTCTCTGAGCATTTTTTGCCAACTATTGTACGTATTTTAGATTCCTCATGACTTCTGCGGGTTTACGACGAGAAATAAATCTGAATTAAATACAGGATTTTTATTAGGCCAGAGTCAAGAAGATTTATACTCTTGGTGGTTGTTCATAGGCAAGTATCTACTCTCTGTGAGTCAGAAGTGTGCAAAATTCTAAATTTCATATTATTTCCATTTATATTTTAATAATTGTATCTGGTCTGAATGAATTCTGATTGCTAGTTTTGTTTTCAAAGAAAAGTGCACCACTCTTGAATTAGAAGTCTATCAAATGTTGTAATTTTGATCGAGTGGAACTTCCTGTTAAATTTCACGTTCACTTTCTTTACTTTTTTGAGGCAGACACATGGAAAACAACTGTTTTGCAACTGCATCATAAGAGCAACGAGAATAATTGGAGTTGAAAGTGAAGGATAATTTGATGGATGAACGGTTCTTCTTGGTTTCTTGTCAACCTAATTGATCATCGCATATCAGCACTTTTATAAAAAGAAGAATGAGAAAAGTGACTTTGAAAACCCTGTCCAACTTTGAATATTATTTCCTTTTTTTTTTTTTTTTTTGTGGTTATTCTTTTTTCACGTCTCTTGTTTTCTCTGGATGTGACATATTTCTTTATTTTTTAACCAGTTTATCGGTTAATAGTTGGACAAAACTTTGTGAAAATTTATTTGAAAAAGGAAATTGATCATAGGTGGTATACGTTTTATGTGCTGGCTAATTGTTGAAAATTTTTATTGGTCATTTAAAGATAAAAACTTTTTCTTTTTTGGTTTCTTGACACTGTCTAATTTTTTTAAACAATTAAATTCTTTTTAGCTTCAGCAGTTTTTCAGCACAATTTTCAGCTAAATCAGTCTACTGAAAGGTAAACTGAATTTATTGGAGTAGCGCTTGTTTGATGAATGTTTTTTTTTTCTCAGCATTTATCTCGGTTTCTTCTTTTGCTAAGAAAAATAGTAAAAATTGTGTTCACAAAGCAGTCGGTTAACATGAATTAATAACTATGAAGACAATAATTTTATTACTAAGGCCAAATATACAAAACTTTTTCCCAGAGTTGGCTAAACAGCTGTTTGAAATAATCATATCAAAAATTTATATAATTTAGAAAAAGTTTCCATAATTTTTTGTTGCTGTCAATAACTGAGGGTTTTTGAATTTGGCCAGAACATGTTATCTTCACTGCTTTAGATCTACAATCTAACTAAACAGGCAACGGTTTGACTGGTAGATTTCTTCTTAGGAAACATTCCATAATTGTTTTCAAACTTTGGATCATAGCACTTTATTTTATCATCGTAACGTTTCTTCAGATTAATCGTCATTTTTTTTCTCTCTTCCAAGTTTCCAGAATTTTTTTTTCTTTTGAGAAACAGGCAGTTATAAATCATAAAAACTTGATTTTGGCAGTAAAGATTTTTTGATTTCTGAAATATCACTAAAATCTAGTTTTTCGCTTCTGACCTGATATATAATTTTAAAAAAGATAGTGTTTTTACAGAGACCGTTCATTCTTCCAGTTTTTTTGCGAACCTAACAGTTAAATTGTTGAAAAACTTGTTCGCTGGATATTAGTGTCAAAATATTGTCTTCAGGTGAGAAGATTTGCTTTGGTTCCTGCAAAATCTTTTGTTATTTTGTCATTGACGCAACATATGTGAAGTGTTAAAATAGTTTTCTAGCACGTAGTTAATTTATTTATTTTTCTGTCAACTTAATAGTATTGTAGAATTAATTTGTATTGCTATACTTTTGAGAATTAAAGTTGTTATTGATGTTACGTAGTAGCTTAGAAGGCATTCAAAGGAAAAAATTGATTGAAGTAACCAGCTCATTGAAAAATGTCTATATAAGCAACTGCCACATTTTATTTTGCTCATTAAGCAAGTTTTTTTAAGTCTGGAATTAGTCTGGTGCTACAAACTTTGCTAAGATAAACTCTATTGTTAGAATACTTCATTGTTAATGGAAAGGTAAACTAGGGAATTGAAATAGAGTTTTGTTATTAGTTGCTTCCTTTTTTACAGATGTTTGTCAGCTCAGTATTTCTATGGATATCGACAATATCGACACTTTTAGTAACTTCTTATGCTACCACAGTGACAACATTTGTACACAATCCGTAAGTTTATTTACGGGGTTTTAGCTCTTGTAATTAATGTATTTCTAAATTTAGATGTAAACAAATTAAGTATTATTTTCAATTTTTGAAACTGGTAATTTTGTGTGCAGGAACTGTGGAAGGTAGAAAAATTATTAAATTTATTTGGCTGAAATACACAAAACTTCTACATTTCTCGATTGAGAAAAGCACGAGAGTAATTTTAGTTTTTTTTAGGCTTTTCAAAGTTTCTTTCTTATGCATACAAAAGCTTCTAAGGTTTTGAAAAAATTTATGGTATAAATGTTGGTTTTTTTGGACATATTTATTTTCCACGTCTTATCCATCATCTGAGTAGAGAACTTTATCATCTTCAGCGCTATTGTAGCTGAATTAAGTTAGTCTAATCAAGGTATTCGCAAATGGTCGCCGAAGATGGAAGTTCGCAGAATCGTTACGGTCGCTGGTCTGAAATCCTTAATCAGCGAATTATCAGCGGTCAGTACAACACTTGGCCAAGCTATGAAGTTCCATTTTTAAACAACGGCCATTTAAACTATGGAAAGTTTGATGGTCCGCGAATCATCTATCGTAGAACAATTAAACCAGCATATCAGCTGTACGATTCAGTTACTGGTGGAAATTTGTTGTTAGTTCAGGAGGCAAACGGTTTATTCAGTAAAATTACGGGGAATACCGAGTATTTCCCAGAGGATGGTATAGAAAACGAAAATGAGCAGTCAACAAATCCCCGAAGATCAATTTACGTCAAAACAGTTTCCAAGTAAAAGAGGCGAATGATTAGAATTTGCTTCAGTTTCATATGAATATTACTTTTTTACTGTTTGAGCAGAATTATTTTTTTGTTGTGTCAGTTGGATCTCCTAGACTGTTAGAACAAACTTTCTAAATCAAATTTTAGAAGATATTTCTGTTTATCAGTCTGTAATGCTCGTACTTAAAGTCATTTGAACAACTGAAAATTGATTTTGATTTGTGAGGCTGAAATTTTATTAGGTCAACATGTAACCAATTAATTTTTCGGTTGATTGCTGTAATGCTAACCTCTTTTTTTTTTTTTTTTTTTATGCTTTTTTCTTCGCTTTTTTTTTTTTTACTTGTTTGTTTGTTATAGAAGAAAAGAAATGAAATGGAAAGCCATTCTTTTAGAAAGCATCAAAACAAAAAACTGATTTCAAAACCGGTAGGCAAAATTAAGAGCGTAATTAATAGAGATTTTCCTGTAAGGAAGCAGATGCTTTTTCGTTCAAATTTTTTAAAAAGTATTAGTTTTTAACAATTTTTCAAAATTTTTACCTGTCACAATTACTTCTATTTATTTAACATTATGTGTTAAATTTCTCAGTTTCTTCTGTTTTATCTATTATTAGTTACACAGCTGTAAGAGACAGTAATAGTTTGGTGACAGTTTTGGAAAAATCAGTTTTTTCTACGCTGTGTAATGTTCACAGAAGGAAAATTAATAGATGAGAATCAACTGATCTGTAGTGTAAAAAGCTCAGTTTGACCGAGCAGAATTTTATGAATACACAAATTTTAACCGCAGAAAAAAGAAAAAAGCTGCATTTACTGTCTGATATTAAAATTGCTATAAATTCTTGGGTAGCTACAAGTTACTGATCTATTAAAAAATTTCTACGTTTCTTTTATTTTGAACAAAAGGTCAGTTTCTGTCAGTGCTTTTTGAATTACGGGTTTTGTACTTTTGCATCAGACAATAAACATATGTAATCTCTGTTCGACTGTAAACCTTATGTTTTTATGTTTTTTTTATGTTGTGTTTTTTTATATTACCTCTGTATTCTGCGTAGTGAACAGAAGTGCTACCATATTGGATATGCATATTTCATTTTTTCTACTATGTTATCAGTAGCTTGACTTAAATTTAAAGCAGAAATATTGAAGCTGAGAGTAACCCGTTTTTTCTAAAAAAAAAGAAAAGATTGTCAAAGAACAGTTGAGTGAACTAAAAGAGAATAAAAAATTTTAGAAGAAAAGTATGTAGCACTACACTAAGATTTCAGCAATTGCTACTGTTAATACTGATAATTGTACTTTAATAACTGTTAAAACCAATACAAATGTGTAGGTATTGATAAAAATGGACCCTCTAATAATTTTATTATTCAATGTGAAGACAATCATTTTTACGACTGCTACACGGACTGAATTGGCAAATGATTGGTTAGAACAATCAGCTCATTAATTTGGAACAGAAATAGGCTGTATAATATTTATTAGCCGACTTTCTTGCTTTTTGAAAATTTATCAATAAAGCTGATAAATTTTTTAACCAACTTTTTAAAATCCAAAAGAGAAAAAAAAAACCTGTTGATAAATTCAGGCAAATCTTTGTAGTTGAATCTTTTTCAGCGAGTACTAAACGATTATTTTTACATTTTGTAACAAAAAAGCAATCGCTTTAATATTGGTTAACTATTTATTGATAATTTTTAAAAAGTTTTTCATTTTGTTCGGATCATCCAAAAGCATACTAAAATGTTCTGATACTTACGATTTTAGTTCAGAAATGAACAACCGATGTTAGTGCGCCTATTAAATTTCTTTTTAAAGTCTTTTAATAATGCTTGAATACTAGTTTTTTATTTACTTCAAAATTAGTAATCTTAATTACTGGACAGGGTACAGAACAGCCATGCAGTATCATCTAGAGTTCTGTACTACTGAATTGATATCAGAACCATTATTTTCATAATGGATCAAGGTTTCTCGCGCAATTAGGTGCTTCAGCAACAACTTTTTTCGCTCGAAAGTGCTTCAAAAAAATAAAAAGTTTAGAATGTTACTGCTCGTAGCTTCTGAATTACAGTTACATACACATTTCTACCTAAGAATAGAAGGCCAAAGATAGACAACAAACATCCCGCAATTTGTCGCCTGTGCCCATTTCCAGATATCATGACCTATCAACCAACTGTCCTCTCATTCTTGATATCTAGCAAAGCCGTCGTTGAGTATTTTATTCACTTGAGCTGCTCAAATTCATTATGCTCAAAACCAAAAAGTTGAAACTTCTAGTAAATGTCCGTAACATCTACTAACCTCGCAGAAACGAAAATAGCAGTAAAACGAAGCCATTAGACTAACAGCAGAAGAAAAGTGCATTGCTGAAAAATCAGTGTCACTTTTAAGGAATTAAATTTATTCTTGCAAATTTTTTTGTGATTCCGCTGTTCTGAGCATTTGCTTAAAATGTACCTACAAATTGCTGCAGCAGTGGCATCCTTCTTTCAGTAATTTATCTAGAGCTACGTTGAGTTAAGGACAATTTTCACAACTTTAATTTCTTTGTTCAAACCAACTCAGTTTTTTAATCTTCAAGGTATGATGAGATTGATTACTGTTGCATTTTTCAAATTTAAACGAAACTGAAGCCACCAACGTGATTTCCGACAGTTATGATGGGATAGATGAAAGCGGGTAAAGCAGCTAGATCACTGCGAGTACGATTTAATGCTAGTGTCAAAATTGATACCACACTTCCAGCCTGTTTTTTAGACAATGGTCATGTACCAGAAAAGCAAATGAAGACAAATAGTTATTGATAAGTAGAATTTATTTGAATTTAAATATTTACTCATGAACTGTTAATACAGACGCAGATCAGATAACCACCGCTCTATCTGGAGCTTCTTAGAGGTGCTTATTACCTGTTGCTAATCAATAGTTTTTTTTAATTCATTTTTCTTGTTTATAGCCTACAAATTTAGTTATTTTCTTTTTACTTCAAGTTCCCAGTCTAAACTTTTATGCACTTTTCCAAATTATCTTAAAAAAATGAGGAATTTTTTCGAGTTATGGGCTAATATATCATGTTATCAGTAATCTATTCCATTTGCAATCGTTAAAAAGGAAATTAATAAACCTAGAATTTGAGTTGATTTGTTTTCAAAACTCATCGCTGCGATCGATGCTTACCATTTCCTGTTGCCTATGTTTCAGGAAATTTTTGTGCCAAATAATAGTGGTGGTTCCTACTTTCATTTTCATATGTCAGATGGGTACCGTCAAATTGCAGTTGAATGACGTTCTAAAAAATTTGAAGTGATTAATACTCATGTCGTTTTTCTCCAGTATCATTGCTTTTTGTTAGGCATAGATTTAGCTTTATCAACCTTCCAGAAGATTATGTTATAAATTGGTCTGTTTATACCAAGGATTGCTGCTCATTTAGACAATATTTTGATTTTAAACGGAACACATATCAAACGTCTAAACCTTCTTTTAATTTAACAACGCATACAGTTTTTTAAATTTATTTTGAAAAATATCTAATTTTTGCAAAATCAGTAAAAAACTTTAATCGATATTTCTCTGGACTTAGGTAAGGCTTCTACTGTATATTGCGCATTCCGTGTATAAAAATTTTGTGTGAAAACACTGTATTGTTAAATTAGTGAATGTCAATTGCCGTTTGATAAAATTTGGAAGATTCTAACCTTTTTTTATCTTTAATAAACTTTGGACCTGAACAAGAACTTTTTTTGCTCTTTAGGCTTCAAACTACGGAGTCTACACTGTGAATTTTTATTTTTTTCCTGACGACTTAGAACAACTAAACGTACATTTTTCAGAATTTTTGACTTCAATAAAAGGGTGCAACTTGGAAAAGATGAGAAATGCAATAGTGATTATCTTTGTAATAAAAAAGTTTTAGTTTTTGTGAGATTTAGTTTAATCTTGCTGACCAACTATAGGTCCCCACCATATTTAGTTTAAAGAAAAATACCTATTTTTCGATCGTAATCATTTACAATATTGAGCATTATTTCTAAACAGCTAATTGTTTATAAACCAGGTGCCGTTCTGCCCGTCAGTCTGGCTATGCTGACTTACTCTTCAGAATAGTATATGGTTCTGACCCTACATTCGATAGAACTCCGTTAGCTCGTCAAAATCAGACTAAATGAGTTTCCGCAAAAACATCAAATTCTCTTTCATTCACTTCCAGAAATCTGATGGGTGCTACTGTCCAAGATAAAGTTTTGTCTTTGTTCAAATAACATTTCTCAAAAGGTTAGCCAAACACCACACAAATTTTTATGACTCTACTTTTGGCAAAAGATTTGATTTGTCAGAGTCAAACAGACGCCTTTTTTGAAGTCCGTAGTGGTTGTACCAGCCTCAGCGAGAAATATCAGAGTTAGAGTTTAAAATATTTAAGTATTAAAAAAATGAAATCAAAAGCCTGCCAGTATGGTTGTTACTCAAAAATTGGCAGCGGTACTGAACTTATGCAAGATAGTTTCTTCAAAACATTAAAAAAAATGTTAACGGTCACAAATTTGACACCCTGGCCCAAAACAGCAAAATTATGAATGCAACTTCATGTTGACTTTGGAAAATTAAAAACTGCTTCTATTTCCAAATTCCTGTAGACTTATATTCTGAACGGCTTGAAGTTTCTAAAGTCAGTTTTACAAATGAACGGCAACTAATCAGGTTTTAGTGAAGATTTGATTTGGTCTAAACGTTCACACTTGTCAAAAAAGTGTGCATTATATTTGGGATACAGTTTATCGACTACTACCAACTGGTGATCGTTGTCCATAGTTAGAAAACTTCATTTCAAATTGACATGCAAAAGAATCCTTTCATGACTCAGTCAAAGCGAAAAAATTTTGGAAAAATAGTAAAAAGTGCATTTGTTAACTGTGGAGAAGAAAAAGACAAAAGAAAAAACAGAAGAAAATGCGCAACATAAAGAGAGGAAAAAAAGATAACTTATTTTCTGAAACTTTGACTT